GAGGCGGCTTTACGGAATATAGCGGGGTCGGTGACTGTTGGAAATGCGTCAAGGTCAAGGCAAACCCCGACAATAATTACAAGACGTGCTACGAGTGTATGACGAAAAAGAACGGGCAAAAGGTGCGAGATCATTGCCACGTTACCGACGCGTATCGCGGAGCGGCACACGCGGTTTGCAATCTCAAGTTGCGGTTAACCGAGCGTACGCCCGTACCCGTGATATTCCACAATCTGGCCGGGTACGACGGGCACTTGATCATACAGGCCCTCGGAGAGATGCCGGGAAAGATCGATTGCATCCCGAGCAATACGGAAAAGTACATTTCCTTTAGCCTAGGTAACCTGCGTTTTATCGATTCGATGAAATTTCTAAACGCCTCGTTGGCTCAACTGGTTAGCAAGCTGCCGATCGACGAGTTTAAGCTCACCGAGACGTTTTTCGACGACGAGGACGACCTGAGGCTAGTCGCGAGAAAGGGCGTGTATCCGTACGAATACATGGATTCGTTTGACAAGTTTCGAGAGGAGGGCTTACCCGACAAGGAGCTATTTTACAGCAGCCTGCGCAACGAGGGCGTGAGCGACGACGACTACGAGCACGCCGCTAGGGTTTACGAGCGATTTAAATGTAAAAACCTCGGCGATTATCACGACCTCTACCTCAAGACGGACGTTTTGCTGTTGGCCGACGTGTTCCAAAACTTTAGAGCTACGGCGTATCGAGTGTACGGATTGGATCCGTGCAACTATTTTACGCTGCCGGGTTTCAGCTGGGACGCGCTGCTCAGCAAGACCGGGGTGGAGCTCGAGCTGATGACCGACTTGGACATGCACATGATGTTCGAAAAGGGAATCAGAGGCGGTATCAGCATGGTTTCCCATCGATACTACAAGTTTAACAACAAGTACATGGACGACTACGACGAGACAAAACCCAGCACGTACGGGCTAGATCTCGATGCCAACAATCTGTACGGGTGGGCCATGAGTCAGCCGTTACCCGTATCGGATTTTAGGTGGATCGATCCGGACGAGTATAAAATGGTCCTCGAGGTACCGGTCGACGGTAGAAAGGGGTACGTTCTCGAGGTGGACCTGGAGGTGCCGGAAGAAACGCACGACCTGTTTGACGATTACCCCCTGGCGCCCGAGACGCTCGCGCCCCGTCGCGAGTGGATGAGTCCCTACCAGCACGACCTGCTGGGCGACGATAATCCAAGGGTGGAGAAACTCGTGCCGAACCTGATGACCAAGACCAAGTACGTCGTGCACTATAGAAACTTGCAGTTTTATCTCGCAAAGGGACTCGTGCTGACCAAGGTTCATCGCATCGTCGAGTTTACGCAGAGACCGTGGATGAAAGAGTACATCGACATGAATACCGAGCTTAGAAAAGGGGCAAAAACCGACTTTGAAAAGGACTTTTTCAAGCTAATGAACAATTCCGTTTTCGGCAAGACTATGGAAAATGTTCGCAACAGGCAAACCGTTCATCTGTGCAAAACTAGCGAAACTAGAAAAATAACCAAGCTCTTTGCGAAACCAAACTTTAATAGCTTCGTCGATATCAACGATAATCTCGTTGCCATCCACATGAACAAGACGCGGGTCAAGCTCAACAAACCCATCTATTGCGGTACGGCCGTCTTGGATCTGAGCAAGCTTTTAATGTACGAGTTTTGGTACGACAAGCTCGTACCCGCGTACGGCGATCGCGTCAAGCTCTTGTACACAGACACCGATAGCCTGTTTCTCAAGATCACCACCGAGGACGTTTACGCCGACATGCGAGAAAATTTAGATTGGTTCGACACGAGCAACTATGATAAGGACAGTCGTCTGTACAGCGAGAAAAATAAAAAGGTTCTAGGAAAGATGAAGGACGAATTGGGCGGACGCGTCATGACGGAATTTGTTGGACTCAGACCGAAAATGTATTCAATCAAGACGCAAGACCCGAGGCTGGATGTCAAGCGGGCAAAGGGAGTCGCCAGATACGTCGTAAGGGACCGTTTAAATCACGACGATTACGTGCGAGTGTTGACGAGTAGAGAGGATATGCATTGCGACATGAGTTCGATTCGAAGCAGTAAGCATGTGCTTTACACGATCAATCAGACTAAAAAGTCGCTATCTCCGTTGGATACTAAACGGTATATACTCGACGATGGAATAACTACCTACGCGTACGGGCATAACAAGATAGAGCATACCCCCGACTAGATTTTGTAATCACGTGATTGATTGCTGAAATGAGTTTCGTATCGATGACGTCAACCTGAAATCGATAGCATCGTTTCCGCCGCTTTGGAGGATAATGTAATTAGCGATCAAGAGTTTAAACTAATCCTCGAGGAATATACCAAGTATCAAGAGATGAAGCAAGATGCCATTGTAATGGGGAAAAATGCACAATATGCAACTATATACAGTTTGTATATAGGATCTGTGGTAACAGAGATGTATTTCACAGAATCACAGCTGACTTTATTTAATAGGAAAGAAGCTCTTTGGCTTAAGATCGGGGAACAAAAAAGGCCGACGTGCTAACTTCAATTTTACTGTCCGCAGATATGTTCTGCTTTTTAAAATTTTTATATATTTATATATATAACGGTTGAACGTGTTGCAAATATCACCAGCAAAACCAGATCGAATATATATATATAGGCCTATATATGCAGTTAGAGTTTACATTCTTAATAAGTTTAGAGTACATCCCCTCAATTAAGCAAAATGTAGGAACCCCATCCATCCCCTCCCCCGCTTTTCACATCAGAAATTTATAGAAATAAATAACTACGGATGGTTTTGTAGTAGTCTCGGGCTAGGATTCGAGTAGAAAAAAGTTGTTTTCCTGAAACTGTGATCCATAGCGAGGTGTTCACTTGTGGTTTTGTAGTCCCGGGCTAGGATGAACCCTGAGGAGGGGCCCGAAGGTGATGGCCCAGGAATACACATGCTCTTTTTGGGCCCAGACTTGATTTTTGTTTATATTTTCAAATGAATCGACCATTCAATGGAGGATTGCTAAGCATCTTCTAGTGCTGCGTATTAATAATCTAAGATGTTCTAATGGCTAAGCATAGAGTGGAGAAGTTGACATACCTGTACGTTTTTTGTTTGTTTGTTTGTTTGTTTGTTTGTTTGTTTTTTTTTTTTGGAGGCTTCAGTGTGTTGGCACTTAAATAGAAATAGAGCTTAAGTGTAATCTTGTAATGTTAAATTTTTTTTCACAATTCTAGAGCACCGTAGCAATAATAATTATCTCATCGGTAATATTAGACTTACATAGGACTTGCTATGGTCTGTCGGTAAGTTGGGGTGACCTGACCACGCCTACTTTCCTCTCGTCAGGGACTGTTCCAAACTAATGTTAATAGAAACACTCTCGCTCAAAGCAATTACAGTAGGCCTATATCGATTATAAAGCACCGCACTCCGCAGTAGCAACCAGTAAAAATGACTCCTAGCATGTAATCGTACAAAGCTGTGCTGTTTAATGTTTCAAATAAAAATATTGGAAATAATAAATGCAAACAAAACCAACTCGCAGAGATACATGGTAGTAATTTTCCCAGCAATATTTAATAAGTAAAACAAGCTAAGGTTTCTGCTTTAAAAACTGCCAATATATGTGCATACATGTAATGTTTAAAATTACCTATGCCTAATGTGATCAAACCACCTAGTATAGTAATGTATTTTATAATTTCAAAGAATGGTTATTAGTTAAACTTATATTACAGTAGGCCCTAGTATTATTAAAATTTTGCATTAAATTTAAGAAAAAGTTGTAGCGGTACAGTTAAATGCCAATGATAGTGGTGCATTGGTAAACAATTTTACACATTGCTGAATAATAATGTAGTCATATATTGAAAATACACGGCTGTGACAATTGCTGCTTTATAGACATACATTTTTATGATGATAATAATGCATTATTAAAAACTGCTAATACATATGCATACATGTAATATTTAAATTTATCTATGCCTAATTTATATCATATGATTAAAGCAAAATATGATCAAACCACCTAGTATAGTAATGTATTTTATGGTTATTAGGTAGAACTTAATAGTATTATTACAATTCTGCATTAAATTCAAGTAAAAGTTGTAGCAGTACAGTTATATGCCAAAGGTAGTGGTGCATTGGTAAACAATTTACACAAATGTCGCTGAATAATAATGTAGTCATATTGTTTATGACAATACACCGCTGTGGCAATTGCCGCTTTATAGACATACATTTATGATGATAATAATGCATTGTTGAAAACTGCCAATATATATGCATACATTTAATATTTTAATTTATCTACGCCTAATTTATACCCTGTGATTAAAAGTAAAATATAATCAAACCACCGAGTATAGTAATGTATTTCACGATTTTAAAGAATGGTTATTAGGTAGAACTTATTTATTAATATTTTTAAAATTTTACATTAAATTCAAGTAAGAGTAATAGCGGTACATTTAAATTCCAATGGTAGCAGTGCATTGGTAAACAATTTACACAAATGTCGCTGCATAATAATGTAGTCACATTGTTTATGACATTACACTGCTGAGACCATTGTTGCTGATTTATAGATATAGGCCTACATTTAGATGATGATTATAATGCATTGTTAAAATACCAATAATAATTGAAGAAGCATCTATTATATATTTAATTTCAGCGCACAACAGTTATATAAAATGTTACTAATACAAAGACTGTTTCAAAATCAACTGCAACAACTATATCAAGTGACATCAACATCCTTGCACAGAACAATGATCATCAGCATTAGCCATTGAACCTTAGTCCAGTAAGGGCAATCCTTACATTTACTATCAATCCTCAGCAGACAACAATCATAAAATATATGTTCATTTTTACATCTTTGCAGATGTTACCCACCTCCTGGCACAGGACTAATATTGATGATCCCCATGAACAAAGGCACTGTTTAACGCCAGACATTTTCATTCATAAATTCCAATTACACATTTATAAACATATTGCAATGACATTTACATTGATGTACCAAAGGTCTAATTTGCGTAAAAGAACATTGCACATTACAGTATATGCACATAAGCGAAATCCACAACCGAATACCAAAATAAGTAACATAATAATTGTTAAATTGCTAAACTTAGCTATAATAGGCCCAATCTATACTTACACTAAATAAAAATATAAGCAGACAACAGTGATTAAATATTATCACTAAAATTTACACCAGTACCATAATGAACAATGAAATTGCCAACTACTCCACATAGGCCTATGTTCATTTATTTCATTCATGTAATTATAACATCAATGTACTTAAAGTCTATGTTGCGTAATAGTTTATATTTATTAGAAAATTGCACATAGAATATCCACAGAATACCAGAATAATTAATATAATTAAATTAAAATGATGACAGATTTGCTAAATGTTTACATCATAAGGTATTTTGTCCTGCATTGCTCAAGAACTATCAGAATAAATGAGTATGATTTATGTTTTTGTAACTATAAAAATGTATTTTTATAGTCACACAAATGTTTTAACATTCTTATACACCAGGAGAATACTGTACGATGATATGTTTAAATGTTAAAATATAATATACATGAAACATTATTTTTAAATGTTGCATGAAACATTTTAGAGTGATTATTTTAATGTTTTAAAATATATAGTTTAGTATTTCTATAGGACCAAAAGCTACGTACCTAAAGATTTTTAATGGTTTTAACGCCCTGTAGAACTACCAAAAAATGTGGCATGCCTAAACATTGTCATAATACACAACATCATACCTATAGGTACATCATGACTATATATGAGCATACAACAGTTTTTTGTTAAATAAAATATGATCGATTGGACAGAGCTTAATATAATAGTTCAGTACTTATAGAATCCACAGCTGATTTTACCGTAAAAAGTGATTTTTTATACTTGTTCTGTACATTTTATTTAACTCTTGTTCGGAATTAAAAGTCCAATTTTCCTACCGTAATCTTGAATGCTGAATCTTAATCCATAAAATTCAAACATATTAATCCTAGTCCTGTTTAATCATCCTCAATAATCTACATTAAATTATTAAGATTATAAGTCATAGGCCTATCAACTTTGTATCCTGAAAAATAAAAGCTTCAAAAAATATATAATGATACCCAAAAATGTTCCAACTTTCACAAATTTAATTCTCAAAATCCTAATCCTTTAACTAGCCTAACTATAATCTGGAAATTTTAATGGCCTTTTTCAAAAAATAATTATAACCTCCAAAATACGATATCTTAAATTTTATAGACCTATCCTTAAAATTAAAATTCTTGTGTACTATACACTGTACTAGAGAGAGCAGCTTAGCTCAGTCGGCTAATCTGGTGGTAGCCGCTGTGCATGCGCTGAACCGTGGAGATCTCTAGGTCCCCCCGGTTCAATTCCCATCATTGCCTCTCCTTGTGTTTCAGCTAGAAGGCTGAAATACAAGTTACAATAGCGCACCGTCTTCCGGATGAGACGTTTAAGCTGTTGGTCCTGTGTGCATTTTGGCCCATGTGCACGTTAAAGAACGCAGTACACTCTTTGGAAAAGAGTAGGGGATTGTCTCCCGGTGTACTGCCCAATCACCACCAGAAGGACCCCACTGGAAGTAAGTCTT